TGAGACTCCAACTCAAAAAAAAAAAAAAAGTCAAAAACCTTTGTGTGCTACCATGGGCCAAGACCAGCAGCCTCCCCTTGCTATTTTTAGGCCCAGGGTGCCCAGGAATCTCTGCTGTTGAGCGCCTTCAGCCCCAGAGAAAGCTAGGGTCGGCCGAGCAGACACACTCCTGCTGGGCAGACAATCCCTGCAGGAACATGGCCGGAAGGGGAGGGTGGCCGGGTGAAGAGGGAGGGGAACCAGGTGGGCGCTGGGCTCTCACCACTTCCTGACTTGGGTGGATGCTGCTGGGATTTCCTTGAGACTAAAAATACCACTAAAAAGATATCCTGAAAAATGGAACTGGTGGATGTGGGTAGGGAAATGGTTGGTTTCGTTTTCTTTTGATTGTTTGTACAACAAACACACATTGGGAGGAGAAAAAAGAATTCAATAACACTGACTAATTCTCTCACACACACATCTCATCTGCAAGCACAAACAATGCAGTGATAACTCTTGACGTAAGAAAACTGTGGCTGTGGCAAGCCTTGGTGAGAGGTAGAAACGCCCTTAGAAGTCTCTCTGAAACCTTCATTCCGGGACAATTTTCTCTTATTTTACTCATAGTTTTTCAAAGCAAAAGAAACATTAAATTCATCTATTTGCTTTATTGGTCGCTGAGTAGCAAAGTAGACTCCATGATAAACAACAAAAGAGTCACAGAGACGTTAAGGGGCTGTCAGCTGCTGGGACGGGCAGTCCTGCACAATTTAGGAGGGAGGGGCAGGGCAGGACTGCTTAGAGCCCGGTACAGTGTCACCTAGGGCTATAACCACCGTCCCTGACACTGGTGTCCTCGATATCAGGAGCCAAGGAGGGCGGCCTAGGTTTTTCAAGAGGTTGTAGAGACGCAGACTTTGTCACAGGCCTGGACAGCACAGTAATTGCAGTGGACACACAAGTTTCTTTTTTATTTTTTCTGAGTCGGAGTCTCACTCTGTCGCCCAGGCCACCGCAGCCTCGACCGGCTGGGCTTAGGTGATCCTTCCGCCTCAGCCTTCCAAGAAGCTGGAACCACAGGTGCGCGCCACGACGCCCGGCTAATTGTTTCTGATTTATTGTGGAGACGAGGCCTTGCCAAGTTGGCCGGGCTGGCCTTGAACCCCTGGGCTCAGGCAGTCCTCTCACCTTGGCCTCCCAAAGTGCTGGGATTACAGACTTGAACCACCGCTCTTGGCCTGACACACAAATTTTGTAAAGGCTCTTAGCGGGCTTCGAGTGAGGAGGAGGAAGGACTCCCCCTCCG